TACCAAAGCGCAGCAGGCGGCGGGGGGGGGAGGGAGCCGAGTACCGCCCCGGTCAGACCACAGCGTACCGCGCTGACGGGGGCGCGGCGAGTCACGACAGGGCGAATGGAGAAGCGACCAACGTATTTTATCTGAATGGTTTATATACATTCGCCGCCTCAGTTAGATACTAAGTGAGTAATAAAGACAAAAGACTAATATGATGTAAGCAGCTCTAAGTCCTGTTTTTCTGGCAACCGTTCTGCCCAGGCTCAGAGCGTGCTTTGCTATTCACAGCCATCACCTGCACAGGTCACCTCCGCTACCTTGAAGAGATCTTTAACGTTGTGGGAATGGCTTTAACCTGCCAGAGAGGAGACTGAAATGAGCTCTTAAGACAGAATTTCTTCCCTGTGAGGGAGCTGAGGCGCTGGCACAGGGTGCCCAGAGAAGCTGTGGCTGCCCCATCCCTGGCAGTGTTCAAGGCCGGGATGGACACAGGGGCTTGGAGCAACCTGCTGGACACAGGGGCTTGGAGCACCCTGGTCTAGGGGAGGGTGCCCCTGCCTGTGGCAGGGGGTTGGAACTGGATGAGTTTTAAGGTCCCTTCAACCAAAACCAGTCTGGGATTCTATAATTACCGTGCATGAAGTCACTGACAACCAAGCAGAAGCCAGGGGCTTGATGCTTGAAGCTTACCGTGCACATCAAACTTTAGAAAAGCTGGAATTTAAATGATGGATTGGAGAGGGGGCTTAGAAGATTGATGACATTTTCCCCACTTTAAGCACAGTTTCACCTCCAGAGCATGTACTTCTAGTAGTTACCATAGTTGTGCTTGTTGAACATGAATTATGAAAGACAATGTATATTACAGTGAGCTTTGTACTGTCTCCTTTGATTAAAAAAAAAGAAAATAACAATCAGGCTCAATTAAAATAGGATGTAAGCATAACAAACAAAGCCTCAGACTGGGAATTAAGATTTACTTCAGTTCCTGGCTCTGTCACTGTCTTCCACGTTTCCTCATCGGTGGAGTCAGAACAGTCCTTACTGCCCCAACATGGTGCTTTGGTTCCTCAGACAAAAACATGGTCCTGTGAGATTAGCATTAATCTATTATTTTAAGATATTTCCTCTTTAAAAAGCCAAATACAAATCGAAATGACTCATTGTGTATTGTTTAATAAAATCACTTTAAATATCCTAGCTTCCTCTTTGACTCTTGGGTATCTGAGAAGACCTGCAGCCCAATTTCATTTCAGTCCCAATTCCTGCCCTCAGCCAGCTTCCTGTGACTTGAGGGCAGATATGCTTTACATACAGAAGTTCATAAAACGTATCTTGTTTTGGGTTTTGGTTTGATATTTAAATCATCAGACCATCAAGCCACCCAGCCTGGCAACTTCTGAAAGTTTTTCCCCTTTCTCTGCCTCCACCTGCAGTCACACAAGAGAAGTTAACATGGAGAAACCAGAACGGAGGCAGAGGTAAAAATACACGTTTTAATTCAGAACACTTAGTGTATTTACAGTAGATAGTTTCTCTCTGGCCAAGGGATGAGAGACTAAAACCCGTCCACATTACAAGTTAGCCTGCACCCAATGCAGGCTAATTGATGTTTGCTATTTACACTTCACCCAGTGTAATACCATGAGAAACTGATGGTGCAAGCCTGGACACAGTACCAAATGGCTTTCACACCCAGGCAGCAATCACAGAATGTAGCCCAGGAAGTAGTGTGAAGTTATTCAACAGTTGCTAAATATATATATATATGTACACAGTCCCATTTGCAGTTAGATCAGATCCAGCAAATCATTCAGAGAGAGATCATCAGGTAAACACAAGTCTACCAACCTGCGTGCAAGCACAGATGTGCAGAGGTGTTCATGCTACCAGGTACATAGGTACCTTCTCACTCAGACAGATGCATACATTCCTTCCCACTCTGCCCTTGGACAAACACACAGGTAGGTGTTTTGTTAATGCTACCTTACATAGTTTCTAGGTATAGGAAAAAAAATTGAGAAAAAAGCACCAACCTTCTCATCTGACTCACTGTCTCATAATCCTTGTTTCACTTGAACCTGAGGGAAATGGGTGTGTGGAAAGGGTAGCATCCTCCCGTTTTGCACAGCGCCATCACGTCTGAATTTCCTTGCCTCTTTTGCCACAGACATAACCAGTTGATGCCGAAAGGGGGCAGTCCTCTCCTACTCCCAGAAAGACGCACAACCTCCCTCCACTTCCCGTGAGTCAGATTTAGCAATCCCAGGGCTGCAATGTGAGCCAGTTCAACTATCTGATCTTGCAGAAACATAGGTCTGCAAAAAGCGAGCAAGTACTTCACCACCTGAACAGCCAGCTTAACCAAGACACCCTACAAGTTTACCTATCATGTGCTGCATGGAGCACCTATTTCAGGAACAACTTGTCCATAGAGCAGCTGATCTAAGTCACTCTGAGCTCCTGTTTTCATCTTGGTCAAACTCACACACCACTTCTTTTATTCTTTCCCTCCCTGGGAAAGGAGTTGTTGCAGAGGTCTGTCTTGGCTTACAGGCACTGGTGGATGAGAAGCAAGCCTCAGCCTTCCTCCAGCACAATATGCTGCTGTTTCCAACAAACCCAGCTGAGTGTTAAGAGAGATAGGGAGGTATGGGAAAAAGAAGACAGGAAAGGGGGGGACTTATGATCATCTTCTAACAGTCTCAGCCAGGGCAACTGACGCAGAAATAGATTTAAGATGGCTGTGGAAGCTGCAAGGTTGAGGAGAACTCTGGTTTAAGCAAAGCCTCTTGAATGGCTTCACTGCAGCCACTCAGCTCCATCTGGTTGAGAACACAGCTGATGTGCTCCACAGTTGCAGCATGGCTCATCTGCAGTTTCCACAGTCTAAGCATTTCATACTGGGCATCTCGGAAACACCGATGCTCCATCTCGATTCGCTCTAGATCATGGTCACTCAGCCCCAGACGCCGCACAAACTCTTTCCACCGAGATGGCGGTACGTGATCCACCACAGTGTAGAGAATAGAAGGGCCTGTGAAACAGGAATAAATAGCGTGAGAAACAATATTGTGCAGCCTCAAGGAGAACACGAATAAATCCAGGGCTGGATGGTGCCTTGGGATCATGCATTGCCTGCTCCTGCTCATTTCTTCTACAGAGTCACACAGATTTGCTCTTATGCCTCAAAATGCAAAAGGAATGCTTCTACATGCTCTTAGGTAAAGTTATGAGCAAAGCTGAGCACATATGTTTAGGCCTTGCTACCACACATTCCTGCAAAACCAAAATGCTCTGGGTCACCACACATGACAATCCATTTTGCTGGTAGGGGAAAAGGACACAGAAAGACCTTGCATAAATATTTAGCACATAAAGCCTTACAGGCTCTGGGTGTGCTTCTGCCTTTGTGTCACGCCTCAAGTATAGACATGGGTCATATACATTGGGTAAGGTCTGTCCAACATCCTCCTAAGCTGCATGTGCATAACCAGGTTCTCATGTGCCTGGGGAAGGCGGGAAGGATAAGGGAGTTTCACTTACTGTCTGGAAGCTGTGTCTTCCTGGCAGGTCTGACACAGTCCGGGAACTCATGTGAGCTTTGTGGCAGAGGTGCGGATGGTGGTGCTGCATTCACCAACAATTCTGTTTCTTTCCGGGACTCAGGAAGAAGCATGGAAATTTCACCTCTTTTTTCCTCAACCTGAAAGACACATTTTCTTAGTCCTGAATCACCTGCAGCAGGACAACACACCTGTCTCTTGCAAGGAGCCACTAGCTTTATAGATCAACATTTATCCAAGATAGGTGGGGAGCAGGTGCTAAGGTTTTAATTCTTCCTATATGCCTTGTTTGAGCAGAAGGCATCAAACATTTCTTTCCAGCAGAACCCAAGGAGTTTAACTCCCTTCTGGCATCAAAATACTATAGTCTGGCAGAAACTATTTCTTTACAAAACCAAGTAAAGCTGGTACCCAAAATCACCACCATTTTAGAAGCTCCACATGCCACCGTTCCCATCAGCCTGTAAAGGCTCTGAAAACCCCACCTCAACTACTGCTTACTTGCAGAACCATGGAGATGAGAGAAAACTGTGGGGCAACACTGACTGGTTTGTAGGGTCAAGATCTGAAGTAAAATTAGTTAAATCCTCCAAGCTTGGGGCATAACAGGGAGAAAAAGGGATTAAGGACCAGCTATCTGGGAAAAAATGCACAAAGAAAGAAAAAGGCAAAAAGGCAGGAGTTTGAAAAGCATCCTCTGGAAGAGGGGAAGTAAAATGTTGCTGGCTCACCCTCAAGAAAACTTCTGAATTAAAAAACCCTATTACCCAGCTCATTTGAAAACAGCCCCATGGGGAAAATTGTTACTCTGGATCCCAGGCTAACATAATTGAGAGCAGAAGGAGAGCTCTTATACCCATGATCTTGCTCACCTCAGATACTGTCTCCCCAGTTGTCTGCGGCAAAGAGACTTTAAAGAAAAGAAAAAGCAAAAATTATTTTCATCTCATCCCCCACACAAAAAAAACACAAAATCCCGCCCCCCCCCAAAAAAAAAGGAAAGCAGCTATTCAGTCATGCCCTCAAAAAAGTTTTCTAGCAAAATGCGTATGTTCCAGCAATAAGCTCACATGCACTTCCAGTCCCAGCGATGGGCATGGATACAGAATTGCAAAAGCTACTGCGCCAGTAAGCTTAGCTGTCGAGTTCTCATGTTCCTTTGGCCTTGCAGCAAAGCAGAGCAATGGGATCCCACTTTTTCCCCTCCCTCACACGTATGCATACGCACACACACACAGAGAATGATGTATATCCCAAACAACATCACCAGGTATGGTGCTGTACTCACCACAGGAGTAGGAAGATGATGTTATCCTCTTTTTCTGGATGAGCTTCACTACTTTTTTTACAATATAGAGGATGAAGATAATTCCAAATATTGCAACGATGATGCCAAGGACAAGGCTCCCATCTGGACAAAAGGAAGACAGCAAATGAGTGAGTGACTGAGAAAGGAGGAGGCGAGTGCTAGAGGAGGAACAACAAGTGAAGATGTGTAAACAGTAGAGAGAAAAAGAATGGTTTGAGAGAATGGAGAAAAGAACACTTTACAAAAGCCATTAACAGAACAAAAGCCTCCACTGAAAAGATACCACTGCCCGTCAGTTCCCCCAGTACTCACTCAGCCCAGTTGAAGTCGGTGAGGCAGTCACTGGGCTATGACAATGCAAGCATTCTTCACCAATGCAGCTGAAAGAGCAAATCAGAGGTGAGCATGCATGAAATGAAACACCAGCCATTTGCAATAATCCTAAGTAACAGACAGCAGGGGGGTTGGAACTAGATGATCTTAAGGTCCTTTACAACCCTAACTATTCTATGATTCTATGAGCCTGCAAAACAGAGAAATCACAGTGTGGCTAGTGACTTTGGGTTCTTAGTGGGCCAATGCCTACACAGAGAAGACTGAGGGTCACAGAGGGGAAGACCCAATTGCCCCAGAAAGGCAGAATGTTATAAAGTTATGCTGAGATGGACAGAGCCTTGAGAAAAATTTCCTCCTGTGGGGTTGTCCTTTGTTCAGCTGGAACAGTTATTTTTCTCCTTCCCAGTAGCTGGTGCAATGCTGTGTTTTGGCTTTAGTCTGAGAACACACTGATGTTTTAGTTGTTGCTCAGTATTGCTTACCCTGATCAAGGACTTTTCAGTCTCTCATGGTCTGCCACTGAGGAGGGGCATGGTAAGCCAGAAAGGAGCAGAGACAGGACACCTGACCCAAACTGGCCAAAGGGGTATTCCATACCACAGCATGTCATGCCCAGTATATAAACTGGGGAGAGTTACCCAGAAGGCCCAGATCGCTGCTCGGGTCGGGCTGGGTATCGGTCGGTGGGTGGTGAGCGGTTGTGTCCTCTCCCCTTGTTATTCCTCTTATCATTATTATTGGTAGCAGTAGTGGTTTGTATTATACCTTAGTTACTGGAGTGCTCTTATCTCAACCTGTGGGAGTTACATTCCTCCGATTCTCCTCCCCATCCTTCCAGGAGCAGGGGGAGGAAGAAGCAGGAGGAGTGAGTGTGCAGCTGCATGGTGCCGAGTTTCTGGCTGGGGTCAAACCACGACAGGGGCTTGTGTCTGCCGTCTCTCCTATGAAGGATATGCCCCCTTCAGTGCAGGGGCATACAGAATAAAAAGCTCACCTGTTGCAAGGCTTGCAAACATTACTAAATGTCAGAAAGAATCCAGGCTTGCACCTGCAAATTGTGTCTCTTTTCTTTGTACCTGTAGAGAAAAGAAGAAAACATTGCCATGATGTGGACAAAGACAGAAACAAAAGGAGAAAAATCCACTCCAAGATGGGTGGGAGATTATCCCTCCGAGTTTGGAGAACTGCCTCTGAAGAACAGAAAAAAGGATTCAGTCTACATTTGAGAACAAGGTTTGGGAAGGATAAAAATAATAACAAATAAGGGTACCGCTGTCCTGGTAAGCAGGGAAAGGGACTAAAATTACAGTGCAGCTGAAATTGGTCTAAAGGATAGTGACAGTTCCAGTGCAAAAGTGGGAGAAGTCACTCAAGTTCAAGCGTGACAGGAAGAAATCGCATTAATCAAGCAAAGATGAGGGAGAAGTGGTACCCTAGCAGCTGGGGCTGGTGAGGAAGTCAGTTCAGGGCAAGGAGAAATCACTTCAAGCCATGGGACACACATTCACTCCTGTCATCTGCTATGCTGTGAGTGGAAGGGGTAAGAAATCAAAGATATATTGTTTCTAAGTAAGTTACACTATGGAGTCAGAGTAAAACCAGCACAGGCAGGAGCAGACAAGAATAGTGATGGAAGGACATAAACTTGGCAGGAGGGGAAAAGGTACTAGAACAAGCAGCATGCATTCTGTGACAAGTGAGGGACAGGACTAAAGCAGTTCTACATTAGCCAAGAGGGAAGGAAATTGTTCAAGGCCAGTGCATGATGATGACCCTTCAGGGTAGGCGTAAGTGTGGAAACTGACAGAGAAAGATTACCGAGCACCAGAAGGAACACATGCACCAGGGGGACAACAAACCTCACACTACACAGGGTATGAGACAGGAAAGGGGTCAGGAGAAGTGTAATTTGCAAAGAAGATGAGAGACCTTGAGGACAACAACGCAAGGGGCATGAACAGAACAAGACTACAGCATGAACTGGAGGGCTGTAAGCAGTATTTGGTTAAGATCTCTGTTTCCTGACTGGAGATGAGGCAGCTTAGGACAGCTAACATGGGTACTTCTCTCAGACACCTGCACGATTCCCAGGTTTTGCCCAATGCCACTGGGTGTATAGTTCAGCACTACCTGAGCATCTCTTGATCTCATGACACCTGCTCTAGAGCATAAAGACCTTGCTTCAGTACATGCAAGCCAGAGGTACCAGAATTGAGTAAAGAGTATCTCCTTGTAACAGCCAAAATCAAGAAACCATTCACAGAAGGAAGACAGAAACTGTGATAGGAAACAGGGATTGATACCAAGGCAGGCAAAAAATGGCAGTCTTCCTGGGGAAAGGGGGCAGGCAAAAACAAGAGCTGATCCAAAACTACAAACTTCAGGGCAAGGTGCTGCAGCATCTCAGAAAGTAAAGAGAGGGCTGTTAATGTCTACCCTAGAACAGTAGGAGTGTACTGGAGCCATATCCATGCCATACTCACAGTTGGCAATAATCCCATTGACACAAGAGGTGCAGTTCCTGCACCGGAAGAGATCGGCCAGGCCAACCTTGTATTGGTTCTTCCGACAGCCACATACGGTATCTTGCTTTGGGGTGCAGGGAGTCTCTACTATCTGCCGGAATTCTGAGGAAGAAAGAAGTGATTATTCCAACCTCTTCCTTCACCTTCAGCTGAAAGCACTATTACGATGACAGGCACTGTGATCCCCTAATCTTGCCAGGAAAAGGCCAAAAAGGCCTGCAAACTGTCTCAGACTGTAGTAATTTGGTAACCCTCATTCTTGCTGTCCCCAGTCCCTTCCCATACACTGTCCTTCTGCCCAATCAATTTGTTCATTTTTCCAAGCTTCCTTATTCACCTTACCATCCCCTCAAGCCCCAACTCGCCAACTACCACACTTTTTCCTCAGTTCTGTAGATAGCTCACCTGTACGGCAACGTGTGCACTGGAAGCATTTAGACATGGTGTTATCCACAGCTGTGAATGTGCCATGAGCACATGGAAGACAGATGGTTGCCTGGTGAGGCCGATCACAGTCTTTTGCCTTGTAGGTTCCTGGAATAAAATCACTTATCAGAAGCAATCAGTGTGAAGGACACAGACGGCCCAAAAGAAGAGACAAGGAATACAGTTTATCTGGGTAGGGATAGGTGCCAAGTAAAGAGAGCACTGATGCAGCTGTAGGACAGAGACAGTTTGAGTGCGTAGGGAAATGCTCTAAGGTGAAGGTCACTATTACTGTCCTTTTTCTACATACCTGCATGGCATCTCATGCAGCAGTGGGTCTCTCTGGGATGTAGATATTGTCCCAGTTGACACTGAGTCTGCCTTTTTTCTCTCAAGGGTCTAGAGGGGTCTCTTCCATCCAAACCGACCTGATGGACTTGCAGTGTGTATGCTACTGGAGAAGTTTCTGCAGATTCCTTCGTCAACATGCAGACAAATGTTAGGATAACCTGTAAATACAAAGGGAAAAAGGAGGGAGAGGGAAAGGAAGAGAGAAAACATCATATCCCCTTGCAGACTGCACAGCTGACTTCAGCACTTAAACTTAAATGTTATTATAAAAGAGAGTTTGACTGACAACAAATTCTGGTATTAGGAAAAAAAGACAGCCAAAAACCCTCATGCCTGTCATTTGTGTTATTAATACTCCATAAACGGTCTCTATGACAAACTGGTTGTATAAAAAGCAAATGGGTTTTTGTGATGTGCAATTTATAGATGCCTTGAAAATGCTGCCGCTTGCAAGAAAGTTACTTAAGAACACAGGAGTGTTTTTATTGAGGGAGGCAGTAAGACTGCCCATCCAGAAACAGTTCCAGAGACAAGAACACATCCAGTACTTGCAGTTCTACTGAATAAATAAACCAGATGGGAAGTCTGGAATACAAAGGCAGAAAGGATCTCACTGCAGGCAAAGTACAGAAAAACTTCCAGAACTTCTCCTGAGCAAGCCAGCCCTAGGAACCTGGGAAAGTTAGGTTTTCAACTTCTCCCCCTGACAAACGTACATTCTTCCTCTTAAACTGAAGCCGCTAACATTCAGTCTGAAGAGTCTGCCATAAAAATGTGCACTTTTTTCCCTTTTTTTAATTATTCCTGCAGGATTTACTTGCTATTCTTAATTTTTAAGATGACAGTTGTCAAGAATTTTGACAGAAATATTAAGACTGGCATGACCGCTGCATGACTGTAAGGGAGCACAAGTGTGTGTACACACGCACACAGGAAGGAACAGCAGAACAAAGGGTTAAAAGAGCAGCCTGTACTGATAATGGATGCCATTCCCTGGACATTGTTTTCAGAACACTATTCCCAGCACTGAAATTGAGAAATGTGCTGGTTATTTCATGGCCAAAAGGTCTCACTGATGAGAGCACAGTGCAGATGACTCATCAGCAAAAGAGGCACCAGGAGGATGGTCACGAGACTGCAGCAGATCACTAACACGATTTTTTTGCCTGTTGGCCCGACAGAACAGACCCTCAGCATCTACTTCAAATGTAAATTCAGACAAGCTAATAAGCATACAAGAATAAAAAAGTTAAAAAAACAAAGCCAGGAAACAACTCGGCCCAAGATTTATGGAGCCTGAACCCAGCAAGTTTCTATGGCAAAGGCCCATCCCATTCCAGCTGATGACTCCCAAAGAGTATGATGGAATTATCCAAAACCTAGTTTGAAGAACCCCAGTGGCACAATCAGGACTTGACAGCCATAACAGCATCCCTTGCCAAATGTGCTGCACACAAGCGATCCTGGCCACATCATCTGGACATGTACCTGTTGGTACTTCTGAGTATGTCATGGAGAGTGTGTAACAGTGTAGTCCACGCATTAGATTGAGTGAATGCATGAAAACCAACTCATACTTTTGCAAATAAACACCACCATGCCCTGTCCATATGATCTCCCACCGAGTTTTACTACACCAATTTCCCATTTTTCCCAGCTTGCTTTTGTGGAGGTGGTAAGATGCCTGTACAGGCACAGCTTCAGAGTTCAGTTTCCTTCTGCATTTTCAGGTAGGAGAGTTATAGCAAAAGCAAAGTGAAGCAATAAGGGCAAACCACAATACTGATACCAGTTCTGTGGTTGCAAGCTTAAGAAAGGATATGCAAAATGAGATGGCTATGACAGCTCCACGCTGTCCTGTTGCTCTCTCAAAATTAAAGCCTTGGGGAGGAAGGTACATACATGAAAGCAACTTAAAACCACAAGCAAGATAGGAACTTGCAACTCTGACAAAGCAAAACCCCCATTTTTCAGAGAGCTCTGCCAGATAAAGACATATTCAATAGACCAGATGCTAAAATGGTGAACAGGAAAAAGAAAACCACATATTTAAATACTGTTGTTCCAAGCTTAATTATCTGACCACAGGATAAATGTGAGCTCTCCAACAACAACCCGGCAAGAAATAAAACTCATCTCAGCAACTGGCAGTCTTACAGATTGATTGACTGCAAGAAAATGGGTGAAAGATCATTCACACAGGTGGCTTGACAGCAAGAATCCTGATTTTCTAGCCAATGATTAATCCCCAACATGGGAATATATACAGCAGGCCCGTAAGTCAGACAAGTCAGCAATAGAAATAACAGAGAAAAGCATCAAAGACCAAGCCAAAACCACAGAAAACTGGCCAGATACACCTTAAACCCCACACACATAAAAAAAAAAAAAAAAAAAAAAAAGGCAGGAAAGGTGTTTTAAATTTTTCAGATTAAGTGAAAGCATAACATAAGTGTAATCATAACAGAGTTAACACATTATTACTGATGACAATTGGAGAGTCACAAACCACAAGTGATTCACAAACCAATGACTCGGCCTTCCAGAAATATGTATTCACATAGCAGAAAAAAAAACCCACCACCATCTTCAGCAGCTCCCCAGGCCATCCAGCAGCTGCTGATTTACACCAAGGACACACTTCATGAAATTCAGGAAATACATTCAATTTGAATAGACTAATAGGCTAGACTATTTCACTCAGAAGGGCCCCCCAGTGATCACTCAGTCCAACTGCGTCACCTATTCTGGGCTGACCAAAAGTTAAAGCGCTTTATGTTGTGAGGGCATTGTCCAAGTGCCTCTTGAACACTGACAGGCTTGGGGCAT